CAGGTATGGGAGTGGTTACATCTCAGGAGGAGGGGAACATTTCCTTACTACCATATACGGTCTTTTTTGTGCCCTTTAGGAAATGAGGAAGTCACCTTAGGCATACGTGACCTAGCTGTTGGTCACGTAGGCTAGCTTTTGTTTGAGAAAGTACTTAGCAATAAGCATTGATACATTGTATAGAATATTGCAACACTGGGGTCCCCCTGCTGTTACTGGTGGGGGTGCTGGCCCAGAACCCTGGAAGCGAAGAGGGGAAGAAACTTCCTGGTAAGGAGAGGGGGCTCAGTGGGGGGGGAGGAGGAGGAGGGGGGCTGGGATGCTGTTGGGGGAAAAATCACGTGACTTTGAGGAAGGGGTCAAGGGCAAGAGATGCAGCATCCTGCGGGAGTCTCAAACTTCATGGGGGGTGTCTCCGCTTTCTGCCCCCAATTCCCCCCCCAGCAGTATAGACTGTGAACCGCCTGTTCCTTGAATGTCACTAAAGTGGGGAGGGGGGATTGTGGGAAGGCAACTTCCAACCCAGTCATGGGGGATGGGGAGCACGACTGTCCCAGTCGCCCCCCTCCCCACATCCCGATGGCTGGGTTGGAGACGGAACTTCGGGGCCCTGAATTAGACCCACATCTGGACTCCCCAAAGTTTGTTGCATTAAAAGAGGGTGAACCCCCCAAGAAGTCATGTCATGGCTGAGAGCGATGGACCCTGGACCCCGTCATAATGGCCTTCCTCCTCCTCCTCCTCCTCCTCCTCCTCCTCCTCCTCCTCCTCGCAGTCCATTTCTTGTACCAGGAGAAGACCGACTGTTTTTTCCTTGAGGGGACACAGCAGGTGCGTTACCTGGACAGGTACTTCTACGATCGGCAGGAGTTTGTTCGCTTCGACAGCCGCCTCGGGAGACACATGGCCGTCACGGAGCTGGGGCAGCTGGAGGCCAAGGAGTGGAACGCCAACAAGCTCATTCTGATGATGAAGAGGGCCGAAGTGGATCGCTTCTGTGGGCACAACTACGAGGTGGCCAAGATGGGGCTCGTGGTTGGCCGGAGAGGTGAGTCTGGGAGGGAGGGGCTTCCTG